AGCCGCGATCCTTCTGGAAGGAGGCCGCGGATCGTTCTTCCCTCGGCCGGTCACCATGGTTGCACGCAAGTGCTCGATTCCACTTGGCTAACCGCGGAGAGTCGGCGGTCCGGTGGAGGGACGGAGGTTTGCGTGTCGCCGTGATTCGCGTGTGGGATGCTGTAGCCGGAGGAAAGCTGTGCGGTTCTGAGCGCAGCTTTCACCTGTGGAAGTCTTTGCCCTCCAGAATATTGATCGTTCTTCACAAACGTACGTACTGTACAGAGTAAAGGTGCAGGAAGGGAACCGCTGCCGTGTTTCGCTTTACGCCTTAGGGAAGGGTTGAGTCTGACTGTGAGATGCTGCAGGTGTACAAGAGACTGGTGGACTGCTAGCACAAGTGATAATGTGGGGACTCTGGGATAAGGCGTAATGATTTCAATTTGGCCGAGATATTAAATAGGATTCTTTACCAATTTTCTTATTGTAGCCTGGTATGTGCCATGTCTAGCTTCACTTGAGACCCTCCAAGAATTATGTAGGAAGGAAAATCTCAGATGTAAATCCATTGGAATCACCAACAGGAGTCTAAAGAGTTATGAGGTGGAATATTTGTGTGACTACAAGGTAGAAGAGGTAAGAGAAACACAGACCAATTTGATCACTCTTTCAGCTGAAATTTGGAAGCGAGCCGAAGATAGTTCTGCTCATAACACAAAGAAGCAGGCTGTGAGGACAAAGCTCTTGCTGACGTTGAAGGAAATACCTTTCAAACTTTGAACTGTAAACGGAAAGCGGTGTAAGTACTGCTTTTGGTATGCTGAAGGAAGGTCTTTTTCTGAAATTACAGAGATGCTAGAATGTGAAATGTTTCGCCTTTGCGTATCTAGAAGTAAAGCAAAATGCTGATGCTTTTAGGTGGTAGCTTGGTATGCATTATGATGCTTCTCCTTTATTTGCAGGTAACAGTCTGTATTTCTCTCTTGACTGTTATGCGCTGTCTGATGAAGAGTTAGGGCCATGTGCTGCAACAGGATTCCTATGGTTTGATCGTGCCAGTGAAATTCAGTCTCAGGATTTGGCCTTGTTGCACTTATTTGGCCTTTTTAAAATGAGTACAAAAATGTGTGCTTCTTAAGTATAAATACAATTTTACGTGTTTTAAATGGATTACTTCTTTGGGAGGACGGTTGATATGACAAATAGTGGTTTTTAGAGATCTTTTTCAGTAAGTTTAGATTTTTTTTTTTTAAATTCTGTATGTGATACGACTACATTCTGCTTGTGCATACAAGTTATGTGGGTAGTTAGCGTAACTCACGTAACTGCCTTAACAAACTGGCCTCCTCCAGGTGTAACGTTAGCAATCAGAGTTCATCCCAGCTGTTTATTTCTTTGCCGCTAGAGATGATGTGTAAAGTATCCAAAGTTGTGCTATACGTTAATTTGGAAACAGAAAACTTGATTTTTCTCTTTCTCCCCAATTCTGAGTGTTACAGGGACATCAAGACCTGCACTGTATGCTGTTTCTTAACTTCAGAGCTCTCTTGTGTTTGTCTGTGTACTCTGCGATGCTGGCTTTCAGCAAAATGAAATGTGGCTAAATCTATATCTGTTTCTGTATTTCAAGGGCACAGAATACTATCTTGTGAAATGGAAAGGGTGGCCAGAATCTTCAAATACTTGGGAACCTCAGAAAAATCTGAAATGCCCATTGCTTCTTCAAAACTTTCGTAGTGACAAGAATGAATACTTGTCTCGGATGAGAGAAGGCAAAGCACTGAAAGTGAGAAACCATATTAAAGCTTTAAAACCTGCAGTTGCAGATTACATTGTAAAGAAGGCTAAGCAAAGAATAGCTCTGCAGAGATGGAAAGAAGAACTCAACAGGAAAAAGAATCATAAAGCAATGATTCTGGTAGAAAATACTGTGGATCTTGAAGGCCCTCCTTTAGACTTCTACTACATTAATGAGTATAAAACTGATCCGGGAATAAATGTAATAAACGGAATAACGACTGGCTGTGAATGCACTGACTGCCCTGCTGAGAAGTGCTGTCCAAAGGAGGCTGGATTTATTTTGGCTTACAATAAACGAAAGAAGTTGAAAATCCAGCCCGGCTTGCCCATCTATGAATGCAATTCTTTTTGTAGGTGTGGGCCTGACTGCCCTAATAGGATAGTACAGAAAGGTACACCGTATTCTCTTTGCATCTTCAGAACTAACAATGGCCGTGGTTGGGGAGTGAAAACCCTCCAGGAAATCAAAACGAACAGTTTTGTGATGGAGTATGTTGGAGAGGTATGTATTTGTCTCATACGGATGAATTATTTACAATAAAGGAAATGCTGGAGAAAATCTTGATGAGCTTTCTCTCAGTGTTAACGTTTATTGACTTCTACTATATAATAGTTAAGTCTACTTTTGAGTACAGGAATATGATAAATAGACATTCTAGATGACAGAAAAAATATGTTGTCCAGAACGTCGTCTATTCCAGAGCAATTGTAAAAGGTTGAATGTGAAGAAAATGCTGATCCTGTTTGTCTCTGAACAATTACTTGAGATAGGTGCCCTGGTAGTGTTTCTAAAGGCGAGTCCTTTTCTTTCATGGCAGTCGTATTCTTCATTCTTCCCTGGTCATCTTTATTGTTGCATTTTTTCCTGTTCCCCAGTCACAGTTGTTACCAAACTCCCCACCCAGTGTGTCAGCCCTTTTCTGTTTTGTCTGAACTTTTGAGGTAGTATTTTCAAACATACTACTTTTGATTAATATCAAGAATAAGACTTACCGTATGGACATCTGTTTACTCAGTCTCTTACTGTTTCAAACAGAACTTTCATGTTATAAAATACAGACCTTGAGTTACTCTCGAGATTTTATATTGCCCTGTGTTTATCTGGTTCAGCCTGCGCTCTGCTTCAGGGCTCTTTACATCAGCAGCTCCTGGCAGCCTCTCTGATCCAGTCTGTTGTATTTCTGCCACAAATCTGCCTTGCTACCAAGTTGACTCAAAATAATTCCTTCTGTCCCTTTGTACAAATGTTTATGGTCTGTATTGTGTTTCCTCCGTCCTTCCTGCCTCAGATCTTCTAACCTCTCATGTTCGTACCTTTCTTGTAAACATAGGAGAGATCAGTCATTCAGAGTATCTCTCGACGGGTTGGTGCAGGAAGATGATTATGTAATTTTGTTGCTTAAAGGGAGGAGTGCGTATTTACCCTTTCTCCTAATCTACTTATTTCCTACTGCAGACTAAGTTCTCAAATCTAACATCAGAAAGATTCTAGAGGGTTTTTTGTCCAATTCCACCACACTTTGTGTCTGTCTTGCTGCCACATTGTGATTGCTGAGGCAGCACAACAGAATACATTCAACATAACGGGCTGCAGATGAAGTTTTCAGCTGTTGCTTCTGTCAGGAGTGGCTGTAGTTCTTCTCTTCCTTTGGGGAGTTTCTGGATTTCTGCCTTGTGCTAGTAGCACAGGCTAGCCCGATGGTGTAGATTCAGCTTTGTGAAGTTATGTGTCTGTCTAAGTTGGCATGAATAGGATCTTTCATTGCAGTCAAAAACAGCAGGAAGAGATGCTTCTAGGGAGGGAGGAGATGAATACTGGACTGTAAACGTGACTGGGTTGTAAAGACAGATACCTGTTGATCTTCGTCTGTGCAAAGGGAGAAAGTTGAAACTTCATTTTATGTGAAGTAAACAAGGCTTTCTGGGTCTAGTGAACAAATTATGTGTATAGAAACTTCAGGTAGAAACAGTTGAGTGTATCTGTCACCATTAAAACTCTTAACAGAAGGTGCTGATAATTTTTTTTCCTGAGACAAGGTGGTGCTATGCATCAGCTGTAGACAGATTGCATCCAGAGATGCCTCAGTCGCCGATTAGTTTAGCTGTATGTGTGTATTCTTTATTCATTAGAGATGGGGTGCTATTTCAGCATCAAAAAGTGAATGTAGTGGGTTTTTTTACTAAGTAGAGGTTTTTTTGTAACTTGATTGTGATTTTTGTTTTGATTTAGTAATAGTTAATAATATGATGCAGGTTTCTTTTTACTCTTTTTTTAGGTGATTACAAGTGAGGAAGCGGAGAGACGAGGCCAGCTCTATGACAACCAGGGAAATACATACTTATTTGATTTGGACTATGACTCGGATGAATTTACAGTAGATGCAGCTCGATACGGAAATGTGTCCCACTTTGTGAATCACAGCGTAAGACCTTGTTTTGTATACTAAGAATTTGGAGAGTTAGCCTAATTGTGCCAGAAGTATCTTGTCCTACTGTAAAAATTTTCTTACCATGTTTACAGTTTTTCTGGAGTATGTTTGGTGCCAGCAGAGTCTGGTCAGTTAGATGACATCATAAGTAGAACGTAGCTTTACTCGGAATAGGACTGCCTACAAAAATCTGGGGATGAGACACTGCCCGAAGTGGGCGGCTGGAAGGACTGGGGTTGTGGGACTGAGTTTGCTGGTTCTAGACAACCGAAACAGGGTTGGTTTGGGTGTGTTTTTTTCCAAGTAACTGAAAGACGTACCATGTGAGAAGTACTTTAAAATTAGTGAAGAGTCAAAGACTGTAGGAATCGATGCATTATTTTGTAGCAGGGCAGGTTGGGGGCTTATGCTGAATTTCTTCCTTCGAATGTTTGTAGAGGGAAAAATGAAAATTCCTGTGCTTTTTTTGGTATTTCTCTCCTGTAGATACTTGTTTCCCTCCTCGTATCAAATCTAAACTCGCCAGAGAACTTGAAAGTAACATGAAATTTTTGTTGTTTTCTTTCCTGTTACGCTGAAGTACCTAAAGCAAGAAGGCTGAACTGCATCTGGAAAGGAATTATGTATCATTCCTGCACTAAAAATTAGTGTTTCTTACTGATGTGGTGTTTGTGAGGTATGCAGTCAGTGTTGCACAAACAGAGTAAATTCACGTCCTCAGATGTGTGAGATGATGACTTTGGATGGTGTGGGGGCTTGCCAGGGAGAAGGGTGAAGAAGAGTTTTAGATATGAGCGATTGCTCTCACTTTTGGAAATGGGAGTGTAAAGTTAAATGTCTGACTTCACTTCTGATTCTGTAACATGGGCTGTGTTGTACTGCAAGAGCAAAAAAGCGTGCAGAGTTTAACAAACTGCCTCAGTGACTACTGAGTTCTGACACTTAATCCAGAAAAAGTGATGAAGTGGTTTCTAGTTCCTGCTTAGTGTGCCTGACCCTCCCGCTGCCACCCAGCCCGTAGCGGATGATTCGGAAGCCAAGCAGGTTAGCAATTGAAAATAGAAATTTATTCATAGTATGAAAATATTATTTCTGGCCTGGAAGCAATGCTTAAACCTAAATACAGACTAGTGAGCGTGTGTGGCTTGAAGTACTAGGTTGTTTTTTCTTTTCTTTCAACTTTAATTCTTTTTGTGGGTTTTGTAGGTAAATACTGACCTCAGAATGTAGCTTTAATTGCATTGTTTGCCATCTTTTTTCTTGTCATCTTTTGAAGGTTACATTTTTTTAATATGCTGTTGCATATTAGCGCAGTCTACGTACTGCATAAGGGTTGCTTTCTTGAAGGGACTTGACTCCGAGCTGAGTGCTCACCTTTAACGCTATTTCAAGAAAGTAATTTGCTGATTTCAGAAGACAACTTGATTTTAGAGTTCTGTCACTGAGAGAAGAACCAGCTCTTCCTTCCCTGTGACCTTGGTTTACTTAAACACATCAGTGTAACTTTCTGTGCATTTTTCTTAACAGAAACCACATTAATTTTTGTCTTACAGTGTGATCCAAATCTTCAAGTCTTCAATGTGTTTATTGATAACCTCGACTTGCGTCTTCCTCGAATCGCACTGTTTTCTACACGAACCATCAAGGCTGGAGAAGAGCTCACCTTTGACTACCAGATGAAAGGTCTGCAGATTTTAACACTGTTGTTGCGGGAGGTTTGGGGCGCTGGCGGATTCAGTTGCAGCCTGACTGGTGATAGCATGTTAGGTCGGGCGCCGCATCTCTCTGGCACAGCTCGGTGGATCCTAGAACAGACGGTGCTCCCAGACCGAGAGCACCCAGAAGCTTGAGCGTGCGCCTCTGGTGCGTCACCTCCTTCAGGGGTTGTGGTTGGAATGTCGGACAAGGCAAATGATTTTGAAGATTTGTCACAAGAATGCTCAAAGGAATGGACAGGATACCATTAAAAAAAGCTTTCTTTTATTCGAAGGCGTTTACATGGCATTTCAGGTAAACTGCTTTCTAAGTAATCTGCTAGTGATAAAGACAGCTGTAAAGCTGAGTGGTCTAAGGCACTGTAGGTTTCTCTTTGGATTCTGGTGTCCGTATGCCTCAGTTGTGGATGTAGGTCCCGTGGTACAGATGTTTAGAGTGGAAGAAGGACTAAATGTTTTTTACAGTGAGAACCATCAGTCACTGCTAGGTAATCTCTTCTAGGCTCCCTTTGCCATGAAAGGTTGTACCAGGTGATCCTCTGAGGTCCCTTCCAGCCTGGGCCGTTCGATGATTCTGTGATAATTGATCTTCCGTTCAGTGTTCAAGGTCAGGTTGGATGGGGCTTTGAGCAACCTGGTCTAGTGAAGGATCTCGCTGCCTCTGGTGGGGGATGGGGTTGGACTAGGTGATATATAAGGTCCCTTCCAACCCAAACCATTCTGTGACTTCATTTTTTTTTTCCAATACAATAAATTCATGAGGTTTGCTGTCAGGTTTGTGCGTGCAAACCATTTATCCACATCAGCAATGTGTTGTTTGCCCTGCTATTTAGTTTTCCAAGAAGCAGCTCTATGCTCCAGAGCCGTACCTCATTCCTGCAGAAGCTCACTTTAAGTGCTGACAAAATCTTATTTAAATCCTTAAAACTCCTGGGTTTTCGTGGCATTTGTGGCACCAACGTTCGAGGCAGGCTGCAGTCTCAGCTGACCAGCATGGATACAGACCCAAGGGTACGAGGCTCGAGTTTGTGGGGCTTTGGATGCTGATATGTGTGCTCGGTGGTGTTGGTGGTTGCAGCGTGGGTGTGGGTAGAGTTTGAGTGTAGCTTCACACACAATTCTTTTAACAACTGGGGTGATAGAAGGCTTTTGAAGCTGTTTGAAGACCTAGCACAGTTTCAGTCTCTCTTTTAAAACTCCCTTATTTGTTTGTCTGTGTCGCAGGTTCAATAGATCTGACTTCAGACTCTGCTGATGGTCTCAGCCCATCCAAAAAGAGGATCAGAACTGTCTGTAAATGCGGAGCTGTGTGTTGCAGAGGTTATCTCAACTGAGTTCCGGTATCCAAAGTCACAAATACTTTGTTCTCTTTTAAATGTGTTGTAAGAAGACTCTTCTTTCGAACATATATTCAAGTACTCTTACATCTAGTGTAAATAAGTACAGTGAATTTGTAATTGAAATGGCATTCGCCAAAGAGATGTCGTGTTTCAGGCAAATACAGAACTGATAATGGGGATTAAAACCTGACTTTTCTAGAACTGCTGTTGAGGAAGCAGTGAAGTGTATACTAAGAACACTCTTTAAAATATACCTTGATTTGAATATTCAAGTGTGAGCTTACAGCCACAGGCTTTTTGGGAGCTGATGTCAGTGGGATGAAGGGATGTTACAGATCTTCTATACCTTGAGAAGTCTGGAGGCATTTGATTTGAATCCTGAATCATAGCTGACAGTTCTTTTTGCCTTTGTTGTGTGAAGAAAAGCATTAAGAGATTAGCAATAACATTTATGGCACCAGGCTGAAGGATCAAGGACAGCCATTGGACTGTGTCTAAATGAAGGTTCACAGGAACGCAAATTGTAACATGTCCATGGAACTCTGTGCAAGTAAAGAAATTGGTTTCAGTGGGTTCCAGGTGTAAGATCAAGGTCTCGAATGTTTTTAGCTGATGTTACGTGGTTTAGAAGTTTTACAGATAGTAACTGAAAAAAATTCTATGTTCTAATTTTTAGTTAGGATGCTGTAGGAGGTCTGCAGTTCTACAGAGAATTTGTAAATACCGGATTACCGGTAGTAGCGATGCTGTTTGTTTTCATTGCAGAAATTCGGCAGTCGTTGCTGAAACAAATTACTGGCTATAGTTTGGAAATAGATAACAAAAGGACAGTAAGAGCAGCCCGTTGTCTGACAAAGCTGATGCATTATAGAGATGTGCTCAGTTATCTGTTAGGTGCAAAAATACCCTGGGAAACAGTTTGTATTGACAGCTGGTTTTGATTAAGTTTTTACATACTGTGACTTTTTTTATCTAGTGACTAGGCCTGTTTTTTCTTGTTGCAAAAATGTTAACTTCAGTGAAGTTAGACTAGGAGGGAGTTTACCCATTTTCTGTAGACATTTATAAGATGTTCTTGAATGTAAAGGCTGAGAACTGTACTGTTCTTCAGCTGCTCGAGTTGTCTTTTTGGTTTGGTTTTTTTTTTTTTCCACTGATCATCTTAAAGTTGTCTCGATCTGTTTGTAATGTATGCTAAGTTTTGCTTGGCTTCAAAAACACTGAAGAGCAGTTGAGGTGGGTTACAAGTGGAGTTACAGCCACGGTCCGTGCTCCAGGGATGGTCTTAAGTGCTTTATCCTCGTGGATTAAAAGCTTGTAAAACTTGCACATTGCTTACAAATCATGTAAATGTCGATAGGGTCAGGCAGAATAATGTTGCTCCATAAATGGACGCTTCAGAAATGGATGCTAGCTATGTATCATAGCTCAGCTAGTTACCTTTATAAGGTGCACAGCTGTTGGCTCAGGTGAATGGAGTACCCAGTATTTAGCTGTTTCCTTAATTTGTTAGAAAATGCCTTAAACTTCATGTTAATTACTCGCACTCGGAGAAGAGTGTTTCAAAGGATCGTACAGGTTGGTTGTTCATTGAGAAGCACAGTTGCATTTGCACTGAAGATCTGGCTCTTTGGCAGAAAGCGAAGGTTTCTACACTGCTAGCCAAATCGGTTTCATGGCTGGGGTGATGAGCGTGGGCCACTGAAAGTGCGGTCTGAGCTTTGTAATCGGCGATACCGAGATACACACTGAAACAGATACTTTATGTTGTTTAAGGAGTAGGAGAAAGCTTGCTTACCGGGCTCACCTGTGTCCACACGCTTGGATAAATGCTGAATCTGGTCCATTTTTATCATGTCACACATCTCTAATGATTACTTTTTTCCTATAAAGTTGAAGTGGAATGTGGAGCTTTAATGTTAGCGAACCCTAGAAGATCTTGCGTCATTTGGAGTCATTGGTGCTTTCTCTTGCATGTAGCCCGATGCAGCAACGCATTCCACGGGGATGGAATCTGCGCTCTCCAGCTCCCCAGTCCGCTGCAGTCTGCAGCCTTCCCTCTCGGTGCAGAATGGCGAGAGCGGCTGCGGCGAGAGATGGAGTCCTTATCCAGTCAGGTTCTCTGGCCTCTCCTGTGCAAGGTGACACAGGGCTGGTTCGGCACGCTTTTGGTCTGTCCATCTCCATGCCCAGTTTGATTTAAAAATGGCAAAATGCATTTAAAAGATACAAGTCTTCGTAGTTGTACTTGAGTTCAGCGTCTGCCTTTTTCCCAGGGCAGTATATGTTACCACCAGCACTGGAATAACACTGCTGTTCCTGAAGGGTATGTGTGTTACCTTTTGTGCGGTAAATAAAGGACAGTTAATTTATGTTCAGGGAGGTAACAGTATTTTGTATTTATTTGAAGTTAACCCATGTATCCAGTTTCCAGTTCAGAGCCCTGAACAGTATTTCGCATTCACATATTCACAGGGCATTTGGATTGCAGTCAGTGCATTAGCTTAATGGGACACTGTGTCACTTTGAAAACTCCTTTTGCTGTTTTTACAAGTTTGGGGGAAAATGGCCAAATTGGAAAAGGAGGAAAAGCGATCTGCAGTTTTTTTAAAGAGCCTAAACCAGCCTAGCTTCTGCCTTTGTTTTGCTTTGTGGTCCGTTAGCATCATCACGGCCACCAGTTCAGTTGTGCGTATGCACTTCCTAGACTGGTAACCTGTGACCTGTCCTCTAGCTGTTCTTTTTGGTTGGGTTTCGGTTTGTTTTTTTTTTTTTTCTCCTAGTAGCAAAACTAAAGCTGCTAGATCACCTGTAAGAAAAGCTGTTGTCTATTTAATCTCAAAGTCAAGTCAATCTTTTGGTTATTTCTAATGTATGTTTTAGGACTGTGTGCATTAGAATATGCAGTTTGTAAGCTCAGGAACATTTTCTTTTCATAATGTGTGATCTCTAGTATTGCTATCTTCCTATAGTTTTTGATAAAATAAATTAAATTTAGTTTTTCTCTTGTTGTTGTCATTCTTAACAAAAAAAATTCTTAGCCTATCAAAACTCGCTGTAACTGGAGCAGTAGAACTTGCTTTAAGACTGCAACCTCTTAAATGCTGTTCTGTACCCAAATTTTCTAGCACTATAGGGACTGTAGTAGAGCCCTCGTGAGGAAGTCATGTGTTTTCTATGCTGTTTATGGCTGGTAAGAACTGGTATAAATTTACACTGTTGACTTGTCTAAAGCAGAGGGGGTTCTTGTACATTTAAGCACAGCCCTCAAATTACAGGTAGGTAAGGGAACAAGCCAACAGAAGAAATTCTGCTCTGTGTGACTTTATTCACAGAGTAGTTACAGCAGCAGTTTCAGTCACTCGAGCCTGCTTGAAATAAATGACAGATCACATGTGGAAATTATGTTAAATCCCAGGAAGGGAGAGGGCAAGGTGACAGCAGAGAAGGACATGGACTGGAGCATCCTTACAACCACACAGAGATGACGGCCATTCCATACCCACCCTCCCGTCGCTGTTCCCAGCAGCAGAATGCTGGCTGGTTTAACATTCACATATCGCCAAGGATGGCAGAAAGACTGAAGACATGCTCAGAGGGGAGAGCTGTCGTACTAAAAGTCTGCTTAATTCTTTGGGACTTAAAAAGACCTCAGGGATGGGAAACCACATAGACTTTGAGAGATAGCTTCTGCTGTTCAGGCATTTTTGTAGGTGCTGCAATTTAACAAAAACCTTAACTGCGTTTCCATTTTAGAAGCTGAGAATTTGGCAGGCACACGTGCATGGAGAACCTGTTGTCTAGATATCAAGACATCTAAACATGTCTGAACTCAGTGAAGTCAATGGAAATGTTGCAGAGATGAGATCTGGTAATACCAGAGCCTTGAGTGACATAACAGCCTGTCCAGGGTGACAGGTCGGCTTCTGTTGCTGTGACAGCCTCCAGAGCAGGCTGGTGCCTCTGGAACCATGTGCCACAGGATTTTATTTTTAAGTTGCTCTGAAAAACAATTCAGAACAAACCAAAACGTGGAGGAACTGGTGATAAGTTGTTCGCAATGAGCGAGATCTAAACCAGAAGCAGTGGCATATAGTGCCTCATTGAGGAGTTAAAAGTGGATGACAATGGTTGCTCACGGTAGAGAGACTGCTTGAAAAGAACAATTTGGGGTTTTTTTAAACTTTTGTCAGTAATTCTCTAGTCTGTTCTGCAGTTCTTTTTAAAAATAACTGCACTGAAACCTCAGGATTAAAGTGAAACTATTGCATTGTTTGCATGGTTGTTCCTGAAAGATGTTGTGTTCCTCCCCACAGTTCAAAACGTGGTATTTTATTAAAACCTGAAATTACATATATATCAAAGGCAAACTCTTAGAGCTCATGATAAAAAGACACACTAAATCCCATTTAGTGTTCTACCCTTAGTTCTTAGTCCATTTTTTGTCTCCTGACTGTTCTGGAGAACTGAACCTTGGGAGGTAGAAGGCTTTTGCAGTCCCTGCTAGGAATGCTTCCCTTTCAGCATTTCGTGGAAGGAACAATGAAGTGACGCAGGCTGCAAATGTCTGTTTCTGACAGTAAGGTATTTCTGAAGAAATTGCATGAAATAGCATAGATGCGGATAGTAATCGGCTCTAAAGAGAAAAATAATTTCCAGCTTAATGAACAACTTTCAGTTGTTCAGTTATTACCACGATGTCACCAGTTCCACCTGTCTTCAGGAGACTTTTTTGTTACTGAGTATGTTTTCGCCTGCTGCTAGCTTCGTATATAAACAGTGCAGTTTGTCTGGCTGAGGCGCTTCAGCGTCAGGAGTCAAGGGGATTTCGAAGTCGGAGGAGCTCTGGGAGTCCCTCCTCAGCTCTAGATCGGGAGTCCTGGAGTCGTCGCTCCACTCCACCGGCGCACCTTGAACGCGAGCAGTGCCAGCTTCTGCGTCCTTCTCACGGCCTTTGCTTTTCAAGTCACCGGCAGCGTCATGGACACAAGATCTGCTCTGACCCGGTGGCTTCCACCTGCTGTCCTCAGGCTGACCGTCTCTGGCAGCCTCCTGCCACCCAGGAATAACCGCTCTGCCCCCGCCTTTGCCGAAGCAGCT